TTCGAGATTTTTGACCTTTGATCTCGAATAAATTTTTTTCCAGGCATCGCAATCATTCGGGATTTTAAAATCTTATTTTTAATTATGTTTTGAACAATTACACGCATTTGCAGCTTGTTGTAAATGTATGTACCTTCACTCTTATTTTTAGTCTAATTTGACCGGACTATTTTTGTTACAATTATTGTATGGAAAAAACCGACAGCGTGGAGTAACCTTCTTTTCTCCATGTTCAGCCATCCAATTTCTTGAAGCTTATATGAGATCCTTGTCACCCACCAATAGCAAAAATTAACCTAAGGCACGATTTTTGAACTTTTTTAATCTTATTTTTGTATTGATTGGTTAAACAGGGACTTAAAGAACATCCGCATAATTGAAAACTGAAAGCACCAAAGATTGACATAAGGACTTTTTCACATAATAAGGCAGAATATGTCGGTTACCATAAATGATTTTCAGTGCAGAATAGGCACATTGTAAGAGTGCCTATTCTTAAATCTCAGATCTACATCCATCAAAACACCAAGATTTTTTGCTTCACTAATAATATCAAGTGGCTCATTTCGAATGCAGATATTCATAGAGTTATTCACTATAGAACGGTGAAATCTTGGACCAAAGATGCCACCCCCCACATCCCTTCTTCAATTAATTGATAATTTCGCAAATTTTTACGGTTAGAACCTTTATAAAATATACCACAAGTCTAATTAGAAATTTGGTACCATGAAATTTAATGAGGGAATGCAGGTGGATTGTGGATTCATGATCAATGCCCTGCGTTAATCACTATCATTCATAACTAACTCCAGTGACAGCTCGTGCATTGGAGAACAGGGGAGGCTCAAGTCATATAGACTATATACCTACACATAGGAAAGCCCGCCTGAGGCGCGAACTTTAAGCTTTGCTCAATACTAAAGTTAGGGCATGGGCATGACAATGCGTAAAAAGTGCATGAGGAGCTATGGACTTTATTTTAGTTTGTAAACCATTTAAATGGCCGGCCATGACCGCAGCCCCATCATAGGTTTGCGCAATTAACTGTTGCCTAAAATTATAGGTGTCACACGTACGAAATAAAAAATTAAACAAATCGTCAGATGTGCGCCCAGATGAAACATCATGAAAACACATAAAACGTTCTACCACATTACCATCTTTGACATATCTAAAAACGATTGAAAGTTATGATGTACAGGTAATATCGGTAGTTTCATCAATTTCCCATGCAAAAAAAGAAACACTTTCAATCACCTTGCTTATATTTTCCACAATAATGTATGCCACACTGTCTATAATAAGCTCATTTTGGATGGTTTTTGAGGTGCCCGAAAAAACGCTACCGTTTAAAAAAGTGCCAAATTGTGAATCATATTTGCCCCATAACATGAGGTAATTTTTTAAATCGGAGTATCCTATTTTAGACCACGTTTGGTATTCGGTTTGTATGGAAAATTAAACACAGGGCCAACAAAAAAGTTTTTCTCATGTAATGGAGCCGGTTAACTAATCGCATTTATCGTACCAACTAATATTAAATCCACGACTTTGTCAATTATTTGACGATTTAATTGAAATCAAATTTGGTTGAAGCCTTCCCAGAGTTTTAATAATGTAAAATTTATTATCATAAGATAAAGACTTGAAATTATTTGTCAGTAACCAATCGACTATATCGTCAGATTTTTTAATTTCGTCCAACTTATCCATAATAAATAAATAAAAAACTAACCGAAAAGTGAAAACCTGAAAACACTTCGAAATTGAAAGAAAACACTTTAGAAACACATCAAAAATATTACCAAAAAGCACTGCTATAATATAATACTGCCTGTTTTATACACAAATAAGAAATATTACCAAGAAACGCTGAAACGATTTACCGGAATGTATTTTAGTCCCGGTCCCTCACGGTATCCCGTCCGAATAATTAAATAAAAAACAAACGCATCAGTACACTAATGAAGAGCAACTGGAGGCGAGCCTCCTCTGACGCTATAATTTCTGCAACTGAAATTATAAATCGAGACGTATGACGCTGGTTGGATCGGTCTTGTGGAGCCTGTGTTTTTTAAAGCGGTCGGAGACTTGGTTCCCTTGCAACGTATGCAACGCATTTATTATTTCGGGTTGATAGTTTATTCGTTATTCGTTCATGGGCGGTGCGTTTGACTTTTGTTGATGCAAAATACAGTGTGGTACGTACTACATAGTGAGTGATAGTGTTTTTTCGGGCATATTATGTATTTATATTAAAAATTATTGGTAAAGTAATGATACCCAAGCATTTTTAGAAAAAAATAATCATAATTATTTGTCAATATCTTTTAATTTATTGCGATGAATAGCCTCAAATTTTATGGGGAGGCTAAGCCTCCCTTGCCTCCTCTGACGAGCCGCCGCTGACTAGCTCCATTGACTTTAGGGTTTCCCCTCCCCCTCTCTGGTACAGAGTTATAGGATCATCCCTTAGAATATCGTAGATTTCTATTGAAGAAATCGTTCTTATCTATAACAATTACATTTCGACCTACGAAGCAAATTAATATTCACTCGATATTTTGATTTCCATTCAACAAGTTTGTCGTAGGGCTCAGCTAGAATCTAAAAAAATACATGTTATAGCTACAAAAATGACTACCGAACGATTGGATGAAGATTTTTCAGCAAAACTATCAATGTGGAATGCAGAGAAAAATTATATTCACCGCAAACTACACTGAAAACAAAAAAGCTATCACTTTTTGCAGATCAAGAAAATTCTGCGTTTTCGATTTGAGTTTCAAAATGTTCAATTCTTTCTAATTACTGTGGAAATGATCACGAGATTTGGTCGATTTGAGTCTGCTGCCTTGGCACTGAGGGTTAGTTAGAAGTAGTTGAATTTTTTTTTTTACTTCAGTGCTAAGTGAAATAGTTCAGCTGAAACACACAATCGACTGCAACAAAAATCAACTATGATCTGTTTTCCTATAGAAATCAAACTTGGTAAAATCAACTCGGTGCTATCCTAGTGGATACGCAGGTGGGCAAAGAGCAGGTCAAGTATATCATCGTGGAGCATTTTTGTAAAGTTCTCTCGTTATTCCCTCAATACTCCAATCTCTGATCGGGAAAGGTTTAGAGTCAAACACACTTTTACTTCCCAAATCAGAATATATTCTGTCCATTCCCCTTCTCCCGGCTCGACACTCGCCGTGATATACGAGGGGCAGAAAACTAACTATATTACAATTTTGAATTCAGGTGAGACAGAAAGTGAACAAGTTTAATAAATGTAAGTCTAGCCTGCAGAACAGCCGACTATTTTTGATTGATTAGGAAAGTGATTTTCAACATTGAAACTGAAAAGTATCTCCGCAGATACACAACTATAACAAATAATATTATTTCTTCCCTTGTTATAGGTGAACATTGATTATATTATATGGCACACAGGCACCGCCGCAAATATACCCAATATTCGAACACCATCTTTGACAATAACACTGAATTATTTCTATTTCAGTTGGCTGGTTGGGGTGTTACGGAGACCGGCAAGCCATCTGACACGTTGAGAACTATAAGAATACCTTACAAAGAAAAGATAATTTGCACACAAGAGCTTCCCAATGAATGGTCCGATAGATACAATTTCGATGACAAAATGTGTGCTGGATTTTACAAGCAGAACAAAAGCGTCTGTCCAGGAGACAGTGGAAGCGGCTTGGTATTTCGTAACCCTGAAGATAACAGATTTTACGTCCATGGTGTTGTGAGCATCTCACCTAAGATTGTTAACGGCTTCTGTAACAACCAAGACAATGCACTTTTCACCAAAGTGGCCCACTATTATGAGTGGTTGGATAAAAAGAGTACAGCAAATTATGTAGAAGACTGTATACTTCCCGCTTTTCCCAGAGATGGAAAGTGGGAGCTGGAGGTTGGTCAAGAAAGATTACCCGGAGACATTGTTTCTTCCACAGCCGTTTTGATATTTTCTTGCAGGAAAGGATACAGATTGTCCACTATCAATTCAAAATTTTTCTGTGGGCCGTCATTAGTACCACCTACTTGCGAATGTAAGTGATCATGAAAAGTTTTTGAATACTTCAAGAGATTGTATAATGACTAATGTGGATCCTGTAATGGATTATATTTTTTCCAAAATGTTTTATTTAATTAAATATATTGATTATGGAATAAGAACTCAACAACTGCTGATAACTGCCCATTTATAAAAAAATATTCACACAGTAATCTGATAGAATATGAGCAAAATAAATTTCAATCCACACTGACACAGTGTGGGAATCCAGTTTTATTGCATTTTTAATCAATTGTTTACGGATGCTTCACCACATCATCAGATAGAATCATGCAAATTATTGAGAGAATGATTAAACTTTCTCTTGAAGATGATCACTTGGTGATCGAAACACGTGTCGAGGTGTTGAAATAATGGTTTGGTGTTGGGATAAAACTGCACTGCAGTAATATTCATTACTACACCAACGGTTCCAAACAGTGAATCACAAGTAGATGGAATCATTTTGTGATTGATATAATCATGTCCGCTCAGTCTCATTGGGAACTGTGAGAAAGATTCTCCGCGAACTCTCTTAAAACCTGCCGGAACAAATATTGGCAAAAATACACCAAGAAAAAAGAAGCAAATAGAACCTGTCTGTTGAAAAAATGGCAAAAAGTGTTGGAAGTCAGTCAGACAGGATATGAAGAATCTTATGTACAACGTTATAACCTACTTTATCTTCACACAACCAAGTCACCAGATTCGCAGAAATCCTATATCGATTGAATTTGGATACCGTTTATTGTTCCAATCGACAAACAGAGCAAAAACGCTCAGCAAATTAGAAGAAGCAGAGCCTTTTCATCTCAGTTCAAAATTAAGTTGTCAAAATAGATTCCATAGGAAGTATGTCTGGTTCACTGAAATCCAAAGAAGCTGCATACTTTCAAAGATATGCAACGTGTGACAGCGTTCAATCAAGCGGAAAAATGGGTTATAATATTCTTTTCACCATCATTTCCCTTCATTTGCCTCATTTTATTTCCAGTTTGTGAATATTATTGACATTTCACTCACTGTTTACAGAATTCTTCTGATACATATATATGATGATTTATTTTCCATTCAAGTCAGAAATATTTTTGTTGTTTGTTAATAAATTAGTGTAAGATTAGTGTGTAAGTTAAGAAGCAGTAAATGATTAGGGCAGGTATTGCAGTGGGAAACAAGGAAAATGAGAACTCTGTTCAAGCATTCGAGACTTTATTGGCTCTTCTTCAAGAACTCTATACTACAATGAGATATGACAGAATAGCAAATACAAAATGGAACTTATATTTTCCTTGATACATTATTGAATCAAATGGATATAAGATCACTTATAAAATTAAAATACATGGAAATAACAGTACTTACTTCAATATAATTAGGATAATTATCATCGTCATGTACTGTTATTTCTGAATTCTTCTAAATTCTTCATTTGATTAAAGCAACTCAATTTGGACCTAACCTAACCTACTTCGCAATTGTTATTCTACCATTTCTCATTGTACTAAGGAGTTCCTGAAGAGGGGACNAAATACATATATATATTCAACTTACTGATTGATTTTCAGTATTGTGTCCTCCAATAAACTTTCCACCTGCAACTATTTCAAAATGCAGAAATAAACAAAATATAACTATCGATTGTGAAGATGCTGTTGATGGCAGTACTATGACTTTTACGTGCCCCACAGGATATGTAGCACATGGAGCCAGATCCGGTACTGCTTCTTGCTCAAGTGGTTCCTGGGGTAGAAATCGACCCCAGTGTACTCGAGATCAAGGTTCACCTCATGTTGATGTTGTTAATAAAAATGAATTTTCTACGGAAGGATCAGTAACAGAATCCAGCAGCGATACTGTTCAACAAACATCGGGAATTAAAGTTATCTGTACTTATGCCAGTTGGAGATTCTATCATGGAGTTAAGCCAGAAGACTTCGATCCTAGTCTTTGCACCCATTTCGTTTATACCTATGTAGGAATTAATGAGAAAGGAGAACTCCGCAACGGTGATCCCACTCTTGACGGTAATAAAGCTTTCGCTTGAGAAAACCCAGAATTGTATATTAACTTTTTTCAGTTCGTTTGTTCCCTAGAGTTGTTGATCTGAAGAAGAAAAATAGAAAATTGAAGGTTATGTTATCAATTGGTGGATCTGGAGCAAGTAATGCTACATTGTTCTCAGGACTGGCAGCAGATGCGGAAAAAACTGCTGCATTTATAAAAAGTGCGAGTCATTTCATGAAGACTTACGATTTTGATGGTTTGGACATAGATTGGTTCTACCCGGAAAAAGCAGATAAGGTAACTATTCAAATATACCTGATAATTATTAAAAGATAAATCAAAAAATCCTGAAAAGGAAAGAGATAAATGGATATTATCTCCAAAACATATGAATGAGCGTTTCCTTGTCGTAAAAAAAAAACCTTTTGATACATGGTACAAGCAGTCGTATTATCAAATGATGTCATCTATCAAGGTTATATTCCTTACCTATCATAATCTCACGTAAAATAGAATTTTTGAATTCTGAAGTCATGCAACTATCCAGACCATTTAGTGTTAACATTTTCACACAACTTGTCAGCATATGAATATTTTTTGACTTCACGATCCAAATTTCTCAATCCAAACATGGATACAGTCGATTGATCCGATGGCCGTTGGAAATTCAAATTTTTTCTACCACATCACTTTTTTTTCAGTTTTGCCTCCTGCCTTACACTGCAGTATATTGTTCAACACTCAAGACCTCTCCCATACCTTTTTGAAATCCTGGATTAGCTAAACATCAACCATATCATAGATCTGCTACAAAGTTCCTCATTTCTGTCAAAGAGATCACATTTTCTTCATAACCAAAACAAACTTTCGAAATTACTGGTTTGTGATAATTGACGAGGTTTATGATGCTCCATTTTTTGACATGAAATCATTTTATTCCAAAGTAAATTTGCCACACTAAAAGCAAATACCTGCAGACTTTAAACCATTTTGGGCAGAAAACTGAATGTTCAATTCGTGAGGAAGGTTTGGAGTAACCTTTCATTCATTAGCATTGTACGTTTCCTTCAACTTCTATTACTCTCTTTTATAAGGAGTATTCACTTAAATCAAAGATACCCTTTCATATTTTGCAAGGAAAAGGCAATCCCTCTTTTTATTCATACCACACAGTAGCTATTCAAATCTAAGAACTCTAAGTTGATGGGAATTTCTGAATGGAATATTGAATCCCAATTCATAGAATTTCTCTTGAAGTTTTCATGGAGTCCTATGAAATATTTGACTTGTTACTTCACATTTTTCTGTGGAACTATCAATACTTGAACAGCAGACTATCCAGACTCAGTTATCGCAAAATTAGGCTTTATTAAAAAAATATAATTATTTTTGCATTACTCAAAGTTTCATTTTGAATTTTAAATCGTGTCAAGAGACATCAAACCAATGTAAATTAAATCCAATATAGTTCTATTCGAACTAATCGACAACTTAATGGATGCGTAACATTCGAGTAGACTATTGCCGCAAGACTGCGTTGCAAAACTGGAGGAAAGCAGGGGAAAATGTCATAATATCATTTAGAATTGAAATTTATAAGTAATTTCTCTCAAATTACCTGTTCTGGTAGTACTTAGGTTTTTTTAGCAAAAATGGTGCGTTATTTGGAAGATCGATAGTGGACTCAGTTTCCAGGGTCGATCTTCAAAGTTCCCCGTGCAGTGTGTTAGATACTCTTTAGTATATGTATACAGTACTTCATGTACTTATATAGTACATTAGCTTTATCAAAATTTTCACTATAAACACATGAATTTGATGGATAGTTTACCAATTCTGGGTATATTCTTTCATTTTTTTATCAGTTCTGGATCTTGAGGAATAATCAACATGGACACATTTTCTAAAATATGATTATCATACTGGCTCACTGATCAACACTTTTTTGATTCACCAATCATTATGAAGATCTTACTTTTACATTTGTGAAAAATGAATATTACAATAGAAAAATGTTTTTGACTACGGTTCCTTACGACAATATAGAATGTTTTCTTGAGTTTATCGTTCAAATATTTAAACCTAGATGTAGCCCACTCTGTGATCCTTTCGAATAGATTCTGCAAAGAATATCTATGCCATTATGTGAATTAACTTTTCAGTGGACCCCAAAACATTTCGAATTTTTAATAAATAAGCTCTTCATGAAATAGTGTTATGAAACATGCTGTTCAATAGGATAAAATTGATATTTTTTTTCAGGAGAATTATATAACTTTTCTTCGAAAAGTCAAGGAGGCCTTCGACAAGGAAGGTTGGTTACTCAGTTCATCTGTTCGAGCCGATCCAGAAGACACCGGTTATGATGCCTCAAAAATGAATGAGTAAGTATTGTATTTAAGTAGTTTGACAAGTACACTCATGAACAGAAATGTTAACGTAAAACAGAGAAATGCTAAAGTGTAACTCATATTAACACTGTCAATTGTTAAATATCTCCTGACACTTCGAATATTTGCATTTTTAACCGATTCTTATTTAAGCAGCACTGCACTCGAACAGAGAGGCGCGGGACGGCCTAGCTCAGCGCGATACGGTTTAATTTAATGCACCAAGAAGCGTTGACTCGCTGTTTGTCGCTAGCGAGTTCAATTGTGATTCAGTGGAAACACAATTGATTATCATACTCCGTCATTTTCAACTTCAAAAAAATGTTGTTGTATGCTTTTATAACTGAAATTTTATTGCATTCGATATCAGCAATGCGTGACTAAATTACATCTTCATGGACATACATTTGTCAGTTCAAGATGACAAGTAATCAATGGTGCTTAATTTGGATCAGCATGTAACTATGTCATTAGTTTTGACGTGGTAACAAAATTTGTGATTCATAAAAATAAAATGTTATAATAATAAAAAAATAGATGATTTGATGTTACTACTTGGAAATAATGAAAATGAAGGCGACCGTCATTCAATTTAAGAACATTGTGAGTGGTCCCCTAACAGGGACTTCAGCTTATGGTAAAACAATATCGAACCTGTCAATTCGTTGAACTCCAGAATCTCATTGTTTTATTTGAACAGAAAAATTTACCATTTCATAATTTTCAACTCGAATAATATTTTCTGAAATCATTATTTCAGGGTTCTAGATTGGGTCACAGTGAAATCCTACGATATGTACGGATCATGGAGTACCTACAGTGGAAATCACAATGCTCTGTATCCCTCCTCGAAAGAATTCGAATGGGAAAAAGAGCATCTCAACATGAACGCGGTTGCTAATAATTGGATGAAAGCTGGCCTCAACAAAAACAAATTGGTTTTGAGCGTTGCCTTTTATGGTAGATCGTTCACGCTCAAGGACAAAAATCAACATTCAATATATTCTCTAGTAGCGGGAAACGGACCAGGGGAAGATGGTTGGTTGAAATATTCTGAGGTAAGAATTGAATTATGCAGAAATATGTTCGACTTTTCCAAAAAAATATATGATATCAAATAAGTTATAAATACTTTTATTGTCGATAATTTATCGATATTACTATTGATTATATGCACTGGTTGAAATGAACATAAATCGGTGTTCCCATTTTATTTAACTCGTGAAATTTGAATTTTCAAACTAACTTTTTTGGTCAGTCAGTCATTGTTGAGACTTCCCGATACTACCTTCGTCCTCACAGTGTGAACGCATATGCCACCGAAGATGTATATCGCAGGAGCCGACGAAACGTTTGGTAGATATGCCATTTAACCATGGCCTTACAACACGAGTTTTGTTCTCTCCGGGTTTTTCGGATTTATATTATCGTTTCTTTTCGGAAAAAATGTCAACATATATATCTCTTACAACAAACTTCATCAAAATGTGTCTAACCCTTCGACCCACGGTTTCGGGATTTAATTTTCGCAATCCCCCAGTTAAAAACAATCTACTAGGGATTAGTACAATCACAACTTAATTATGGAATTATAGCATGGGGCGGTGTGAATGATAAACACTTGAAAAGTCGGAACGTAATACAAAAACATATCTTGAAAATTATACAGGGCTATTCAAATTGGTTTCTGTACATGGGGATCTCATAAAAAATAATAGATAGAGTATCAGGTAAATTGTGGCAAAGTTGTGTATTTTAGATACCTATACAATGATGTGAAGAAATCGAATATAGCTTTTTTTCTGGAGATATACAGGAAAAACCAAAAAATCACAAATTATTTCTTTGCCTATATTCTTTATTCGCAGACATATTGAAAATCTATCTACATTTTGCTCTTGGCACTTGATGTGGGCTCTCAGAATATATCCATGAATCTTTTATACAGGGTGTCATCTGACTTGGGCCATCTTTAAATTTTTAAAAATGGACTTGTATTTTTGTTGTAGTTTTTGGATCGTAGACGTTCACTTCATACTGAGAAATCAAATTCTATTTTATATTTCGGGATGTTTCGGAAATATTCGATTATAATTGTCTCAATCATTCCCTTTTAAATTACGGCCCCGGAAATTGGTTGACTGAGTTGAATATGCTCAAATACAATTATTATAGACACATCGTTCAAATATATGAAATGAGTAGAAAAAGTTACTGAACTCGTATTTTTCAACAATATAATTTCGTTGTTGAAATCTAGCTTGACACCGCAGATCTGGCACCCAACCCACTTGACGCAACTAGATGCAGAATTAGTACGTCGCGTATTCGTTTCGATTTCATTGAAATTCAAAATTTTTTATTATCTTGAGATTTCTGGATTCATATATGAATTGTTGGTATTCAAGGTGGGGTTTGAAATAAAGGATTGTTGTCTTATTTTCGTGTAGTTCAGTAAATCAGTGAAGTGTGGCAATTCGTTGTTCGTTTCGGTCTCATGTATGTTTATGTATTGACGAGTTTCATTTGATTAACGTATTCATTTGAGTTGTCTCAGTAGAGTTAGATTAGGTGTCATAGTCATTATATCATTATATTTAACCTGTGAATTTCTGTAGAATCACTTACACTATTTCGTCAATCATATTTGAATGTTTCATTCCATTGGTTCAATTTGATTGGGATAATGACAATGATTGACTCCCGGAGCCTAGTTACGCATAAGTTAACTAGGCCCTGGGAGTCACGTATAATTAATAATGACACCTAGATGTTGATTTCATGACTATGAGTTTCATCGCTGTTGGAAAGAAGTGTTATATCGCTTTTACACTTTATTTTGGTGGCCTGTCGTTTAATGTTTTTATCATTTTATCGGTTTGAATGAACTAATCCGATTAAACTTGGTGCACTCGCTCTCGAAATATAACCCATGATATATTCCTTCTTTGAAACTTCTCAGGTATAACAACTTTTGACTAATTCTTCACCTTATTTCAGATTTGTTCAAATTACGGAAACTATACCGAAGTGTGGGATGATGACCAGAAATCGCCATACAGATATAAAGATGATAAATGGTTTGCATATAATTCAAAGGAAGCTGTTTCAATTAAGGTGAATATATGAAGTGTCATTATTGTAAATCAATTTTGAATTGTTTATAGCGATATTATCCGTTAATTTCCTTTGAACTTCACTTTCAACAGGAGAGTATATTTGTGATACACTGTTTGGAACCTTTGGTATAGTAATGAATATTACTCGAGTTTGTTTCCCAACACCAAACCGTTATTTTAACACCTCGACACTTGTTTCGATCACCAAGTGAGCATCTTCAAGAAGAAGTTTAATCTTCCTTTCCAAGATGATCACTTGGTAATCGAAACACGTGTCGAGGTGTTGAAATAACGGTTTGGTGATGGGAAACAAACTCCAGTGATATTCAGGTGAGTATATCATTATATACCGAATCTAAAGAAACTTTCTCCAAACCAGAACAGAAAGAGTGTCTCTAGACGTGCGTTTCGCTAACCAAGTTTGCATCATCAAAAGATAATGTCGACAGATACGTCTCCTGGCGTGCGTTTTGCTAGCCAAATTAGCATCCTCAGAAGATGCTGTCATGAGACAGTGTTTTTGTTCTGTTGTGTGTTTTCTTCAGATTTATTTTATGCCATAGGTTTTAATTCTACTTAGCCAGATCATCCTGATACAAAGTAATATTGTCATATCACATTTTCGAAATGATATTTTTTTTTACAGGGTGACTACATTAAGTCAAAAGGTTTTACTGGAGTTAATGTCTATCCCGTGGATGCTGATGACGTTCATGGTGTTTGTGGTACGAAACAAGTTTTGCTCAAATATCTCAACGAAGGATTAGGAAATAAGGTTAATTTCGACAATTGATAGAATAAGTTGAAATAGTAATCCTATGCAGCAATCTGAAAATGTTTTACCGTAATAAATGATTTTTAATTTTGTACTGATTTTTTTTGTTCTTATTTTCTGACCCCATATCTAGTATGGTTGAAATAATTATAATCGAACAGATTGGAGCCATGTAGAAAACATATTCTATTTTACTATGTACGTATCAGATTTTTCAAAATCCACCAGACGATTTTTCTATTTGTATGTTATGGAGTGACTACCTCAAACGTAGGTAATTAGCAGAACTTTATTATCTAAAGTATAAAAATGGCAGGTTTGAGAATAATTCTCAATTATTTGCAAGAGAAGCTTTTGAGGTTGTAGATGTTCAAGAGTAACTTTTGCCGTTATATTTTTGTTCTTCTAGGTATTTTGCTTGAAGGTCTCTCAAAATGTTCCAGAAGCCTAAACACAGTGCTCCATGAGAAGCAAGTCTCCTATAATTAGCCCCTACTCCTTTGAAGAAACCTGTCAGTCCTTCTGTTTTGATTATTTTTATGATGCTGCTCTCATCAATTTTCCAAGACTGTCAAATGCTGAATTATATCAGCACTGGAACTTTAATATGATGCTTTTACTCAAAACTAAGAAATTGTGGAAGATTGTGAGTGGAAATGAAAAGCTTTCAGCAGTGGAGTCTGATGCAACAAAGAAAGAAGAGTGGCTCTACAATGATGCAAGAGCACAAAGCCTCATCTCCAGAACTGTTGATAAAACAGTGAAGTCCCACATCCTCACTTGTGAAACCTCAAAAGAAATGTACGACACATTGCAATCATTATATCGTCGTGACTATAGTCAGCTAAAACAACAATTGCTGATGGAATACCACACGTTTGTATATAATAAATCCAAAGACATGATGCAGAATATTAGTCATCTGAAGAATATTACATTCAGACTTAAAAAATTGAAAGAAGAAATTTCCGAAACCATGTAGATTGCTAAAGTATTGGCTGTCTTGCCCATTAATGACTACTCGGTGTTCAGAACTACCTGGGAATCAACCCCTGAAGCTGAAAAACCTTTGGAAAAATTGATCCCAAGATTGATATCTGAAGAAGATAATGTAAACAAGATGGAACAGAATTCCTCAGATGACTCTAAAGCAGAGTTTGCTGCTATCAAGAATAAAAATAATGGAAACCCTAACAAACAGGGGAAGATTGTTTGTCACAAGTGCGGTGAACCAGGATACATTAAACCAAAATGTCCGAAGAAGAATTGGTGTAAGGAATGTGGAGAAAATAATCACAGTGACGAAGAGTGTCTCAAGAAAAGGACAAAGGTGAAATATAAACAGTCTTTTGCTCCTTGTACTTACTGTAAACTAACCAACCACCCTGAGTTTGATTGCTTCGTCAAAGATCAAAGTAAAACTAACAATGAAAAAGAGGCTTTCCTAACTGAAACCACTCTTGGTTTAAACAATGAAGAAATGGCCTGTTCAACTGAAACTGCTCTTGCAGCTCTTAACAGTGACTCATGTGTGTATTGTGTAGATAGTGATTGCACTTCTCATCTCACCAATTCAAAAGAAAATTTGAGTGACATTGTAAATACTGTGATCATCATCTCTAGTGCAAAAAAAGGTGTTGTCATGAAATCTACAGCTAGTGGAAATGTATATTCGGAAGAACTGATACTCAAAACTGTGTGCTACATTGCTGATCTCACCACAAACCTGCTATCTGTAAATGTGTAGTTGATAACGGTGAAGAAGTGAGATTCAAGAAAGGAAAAGTAGATATTTTGAAAGATGATAAAATTATAATAACAGGTACACAAATAGAAAATGCATTGTTTGTTGTGAATCTAAGAAAACAAGCAGAAGTCAATGTTGCAAATAAAAATGAAATAATGGAATGGCACCGTAAATTGGGTCATGTTGGTCTTTTAAATCTCAAGGTAATCCCTGCTTTGTGTCAGGAAGTGCCAGCACACATAACCAAATGTGAAGATAAAGTGATATGTGAAATATGTGCTGTTGCTAATATGAAAAGAAACCCCTTCAACACCAAGAGACAAAGAGCAACGAGATGTCTACAAATTATTCACACTGATTTATGTGGCAAAATCTCTCTAACCTTTGACGGCAAGAATTACTTTATGACATGCATTGATGATTATTCACATCATATTACTGTCTACTTGTTGGAAAGTGAAAATGAAGCAGAAATTTTTTTCATGGAATATATATTCGAAAGTGAAAATCATCATAATCTTAAAGTATCAAAATTAAGAATGGATAATGGTGGTGAGTACCGCTCAAACAATTTTAAAGCTTGGTGTAAATCTGAAGGGATTCAGTCAGATTATACAATACCCCATACTCCTCAATTGAACGACACTGCTGAGAGGATGAATTTAACCTTACAAGATAAAATGAGAAGAGCTTTGTTGCAAGACTCAAAACTACCAAATAAAATGTGGGGTAGTGCTGTGCAAACAGCTGCCTATTTACAAAATAGAACACCCTCTGAAGTCATTATAACATATTACTACTGCTTATCAAAAATGGTACAATACAGTTCCAGATCTCAAGATGGTTCAAATGTTTGGAGCTACAGTGTATACTAAAGTCCTTAGTAATTTGAATAAATTAGTCGAAAGAGGCAAGAAATGTATATTTGTTGGATATGCTCTCAACGGATATTGAATTTGGGATGAAGAACAATATGAAATCTATGTATCCAAAGATGTCATATTCTTTGATACTCAAAATGAAAAACAAGGAAATCAACCAAATTCGAATGTTGAAAATGCTATACAATATGTATTTGCTGATGAAGAAGAAAACCTATTGAAAGAAAATGGAAATAACAATCAAGATGAAGACCAAAATACAGAAGATGAAGATCCAGATAATGAAGACCAAGATACAGAAGATAAAAATAATGAAAATGATGTTGAAATATTAAATCCAAACCAAAGATCACAAAGGAATAGAAGACTTCCTGCAAGATTTGAAGATTATGTAATGCTTGCTGAGGAATCTCCTATTACCTATGAAGACTGTATGAAGAATGATCATCGTGCAGAATGGATGAATGCCATTAATGAAGAAAAAGAATGTCTGGAAAGAAACCAACCATGGGATCTTGTAAACCCACAAGAATCCAAAGGAAAAGAAATAGTTACTAGTAGGTGGCTATTTAAAATTAAAGACAGTGGTCATTTCAAAGCAAGACTCGTTGCAAGAGGATGCCAGCAGAAAAATGGACTTGATTACAAAGACATTTTTAGTTCGGTCATACATCCTAACTCTCTCAGAATGCTTTTGGCTATCGCTGCAACTGAAGATTCAGAAATGACGTCATTTGACATAAAGTCAGCTTTCCTGCATGGTGATTTACAAGAGGTCATATACATGCATTTGCCTGAAGATTTTGATACAGGTGGAAAAATTTGCAAGTAGAAAAAGGCACTTTATGGTCTGAAGCAAGCAACTCAACAATGGTTCAAACGTTCAACTGATTTTCTCAAGAAGGAGGGGCTTTTCCAGCTGAAAACTGATCAATGTGTGTTTAAATCGAATAAAAACAAATTATTTGTCGGTATTCATGTGGATGATGGTATTGAGATTGGTGATTAGTCTGAAATTGTGAAGCTCATGAATAAGTTGAAGCAAACTTTTGAAATCAAAGTTAATGAAAACCCTGAAATTTATCTGGGTATGCAAATCAAGAAAACTGAAGAAGGAATCCTTGTCCATCAAGCAAATTATGTAAATCATGTGCTGTAAATCATCTGCTATGCTGTCAATTATGCTAGTAGACACTGCAAAAATCCTTTACAACAAAACATTTTGAATGTGAAGAGAACCTTGCGTTATCTAAATTGATCAAAAGAAGATGGTCTCTTGTATTCAAACAAGGGTGAAAAATATACTCTACAAATGTACTGTGACGCTGATCATGCTGGTGATGTCGCTGATAGAAACAGTACCTGTGGAATTATAATACTATGTGGTAATGCCCCAATTGCATGGGTATCTAAGAAACAAATTTGTGTCGCTCAACATTGTACAGAAGCTGAGGATATTGTCACAGCGCAATGCTGCCAACAGATGAAATTTATCAAAACTGTACTTGAAGAGATGGTATCAACTGGAATTTCTATCAAGCTATTTGTTGATAATACCAGCTGTATCAAAATGATCAGAACGAATCAACTGACAAGGAAGTGTATTTTCATTGATGTCAAATATCATTTGGTGAAAGATGAGTACAAGAAGGGACTGTTTTCGATTGAATATTTCCCAACAAATGAGAATATCTCGGATATCGTGACCAAGCCTCTGCAAAATCCTCAATTTGAATATCTCAAGAATAAATGTATGTCATCATCATCCTTTTTTTGTATCAAGATGGAGTAGTAGATTGAAACTTCCTATTAGGGAAGATAATAATGGTATTCTTTTGAATATGTCATACTCTGTATGTCCTTTGAAATAACAAAAGAGGTCAACTGAGCAAATGAACCTGCCACTGCCCTCACCATGGTAGCATTGGATCCTCTCCATAAGCCAGCAATCCCTTCTTTTGAATAAATTGTTTTGAAAATGGCAAATACTCCTTCGTGATCATGTTGTGTGCCTACTGATATATTGTCGGCCACTTGGGAGCCAAACTTTTACTAAAAATAAAGGGCTTCCCATGAATGCTCCAACTGCTCCACAAAAGGCACTCGCTATGGCACTTCTATGAAAAATTGTTTTCCCCCTTCTCATTGGTCAAATAACCGTTTTGATTAAACCATTGATAGGACCCTAGTCTTATAGAATTTCTTATAGATTGCATTGTCATGGCTAGTAAGAGATCTTTCTGAAGACGTCCAATCCCTTCATTTTTACCAATCACCCAGCTAGCGTGAAAAATGTTTTTGTAGAAAATATCATGTTGACCTTTTGCTCGAAGTTCGCCCTGTAGCGGCATTCGCGTGTTTACGACATCAATGGGGTTGCTGAATATTGAACTAGAGCAATGTGACCGATTGACTGAGTGAGTAACTTCCTGATGATGCTAACTTCGTTAGCGAAACGCGTCGGGAGAGT